CTTGTATTTGGTTCCACCTTTCTATCCCTCCTTCCCTCCACCCTCCACCCTCTTGGTATCGCACTCTTACCACTGGTCCTGAAGGGATCATCTGTCCTGGCTTCCCCGTGTTTCCAGTTCCCATCTGTACCAGTGTACATCTTCTGGTCTAGCCGGATTTGTAAGGTAAAATTGGGATCATGATAGTGGGGGAGTGGGGGGCGGGGAAACATTAAAGAACTAGGGAAAAGTTGTATGTTTCATCGTTGCTACACTGCACCCTGACTGGATCTCTCCTCCCCCTGACCCTTTTGTAAGAGGATGTCCAGTTGCCTACAGATGGGCTTTGGGTCCCCACTCCGTACTCCCCCCTCATTCACAATGATAGGATTTTTTGTTCTTTGATGCTTGCTACCTGATCCCTTCGACACCTTGTGATCACAAAGACTGGTGTGCTTCTTCCATGTGGGCTTTGTTGCTTCTCAGCTAGATGACCGCTTCAAGCCTTTAAGACCCCAGATGCTTTATCTTTTGATAGCTGGGCACCATCAGCTTTCTTCACCACATTTCCTTATATACCCATTTGTCTTCAGCGATTCTGTTGGGAAGGTGAGCATCATGGAATGGCAGTTTAATAGAACAAAGTGTTCTTGCATTGAGGGAATACTTGAGTGGAGGGAGGCCCAATGTCCATATACCTAAACCTATAAATATATGCACATAGATCTATTTTCCCATCATCATATATAAATATATTTACACATATACATGCCTGTATTAGACCTGCATAAATGCCCTTTGCCTGCTAGATCTTTCCTCTATTTCCTTTTACTTTACTCTTGTCCCACTATCATGCTCAGCCGTTATTTGAGTTTCAGTAATTCCTCTAGGTTACATTGCCCTTGATCAAGCCCTGCCTGGCCTCTTACACCCTCCTTGCCACTGATTTTGGATCACTTGTTGTTCCCTTGTCCCTGAGTTTGTTAACACCACTTCCTTTCCCCCATCTCCCCTTCTCCTGTGTTCCCCCACCCCCCCAACCGTAGGTCCCGTTGTTTTCTCCTCCAGATTGTTTATCCAGCCTATCTTATCTAGATAGACCTGTTGATTTCTAATGATTAATGTACTGATCAGTTTTTCCTCAGATTAGCCTTTTGTCTTCTTTTAGTAAAATGTCTATTTTTCCTTTGCCCATTTCTCATTGGGTGTTTGTCTTTTTTGTTGTTGAGTTGTAGTGTTCTTGTATAGTTTGAAATTTAGACCTATCTAAGATAATTTGCAGATATTTGTTCACATTCTGGATGTTGTCTCTTCATTTGTTGATAAAGGTTCTTTGTACAATTTTATGAATTCCAGTTTATTTTGTTATTTGTTGCTTTTGTAATATCTCTTAAGAATCTATTTTCAAAAGCAAGGCCTTAGAATTTTCCTTTTTTCTTCAAAGTCTTCTATGGCTTTAGGTCTTATGTTCAGGTCATTGTTTCATTTTGAGTTAATTTTCATATAGGATGTGAGTTATGGGTCCTACTTTATGATTCCCCTTTATGACTCCCACCCCACCCCCATTGAATGGACGTGTTGCCCTGTTGAAAATCAGTTGGTCATAGTTATCTCAGAAACCAAACTCAATACCATCGAGTCAATTCTGATTCACAGTGACCCTATAGGATAGGGTAGAATTGCTCCTATGGGTTTCCGAGACTCTTAATTCTTTATAGGTGTAGAAAGCCTCTTCTTTCTTCCTGAGATCG